GGTAGCAGAAATCAGAACATTCGCTGGTCTGGATGGTAGAATGATGATGCTTTGTGAAACACAAAGAAAGCTGGCTAGTCCTAAAGAACCTTGAGCCTAATGTGTTGGAAGGGAAAGCAATCCGCTATACAGGTGATGTACTCTAAACCCGTGAGCTGCGTACAAGTCATGACTTCATTGGGGTTTCTCGCACTGCGTAAAGCTAAGTGCATGCGGTAACCCTAATCTAAACACTAACTGGGGTCTCAGATTTTACTTCTCTGTAGCCAGGTCCATCACGGGTACCACTTGGTTTACTGTAGGAATAAAGGTGTGATCCGTTATGGCAGTTCTGAAGGACCTGCTAGTCCAGTAAAGATGCTTTGGAGGACAGTATAAGAACCCCAGCAAGCAGCTGTGGAATAATCTGCCTCCCCACATAGGTGAGACAAGGTGGGAAGGTAATAGCTTGTCTCTCTCACCAGCAGAAGTTGGTCCCATAAAAGATATAGCCTCACTCATCTTGTCCCACTGATACCCTGGGACCAGCATGGGGACAACCTCACAGCCTCCGTAGGTCTCCTCCTGATCTCTGTGGCCTCCCAGGGACTTCCGCCCAGTTGCACCAGTTGAGGATCTGGCCCATGCTTCTTGTGTTGATATAGACGATGACTAAAAACAGGCACATCCCTGGCCCCAGGCATCTTGGCAGCATTCCTTGCAGGCTCCCGGGCTTCTCAACTGCTCACCTGATTGCCTGCTGCCTCAGCACCTTGCCTGGTGAGCTGCTACTGAGCTGACGCTCTCTGGGACCCACCGCTCTCAAGGATTCCCAGCACCCCAGGGAGCTGAGCGTCTGGCTTCCAGCTGGCCAGTCCCTGGGGCTGCTCTCCTAAAGGGTGGGTGAGTGGGCAGCCAGGCACTGGGGAGCTGGGGAGCCACTCTGAAAAAAATTCAAAGTAGTTTTGTTCATTCTGCTCCAGGATGATTTCCTCCCCCCCCCCCCCCGAGTTTCTGAAGTTTTAGCAGAATGGAAAATCCCATTCCCATTCAAGTGTAATGCATGCCCACATCTGTATGCAAAGCCCTCTTCCCAAATGCTCCATATCATCATGTTAAAATGGTGGACATCCCAAATGTATCCTGGTGAAACATGGCACCATCAATTGCAGAGTCAGTATGAATTACGAATGTATTAATAACGTTGAAAATTGGCTCAAACACGAGCCATCCTAGACAAGCTAATGCCCTTGTACATAGACTTTATTATCCATTAGTACATATTGTGCTGCCTGCTAAAAATAATTCAGGCTATACTTCTATCACATTAAGATAACACTAAATCTCACTATAATTTGAAGGAAATACGGTTCCCAGCTGTTGTTGCAGAAGTGAGCTAAACAAAATCCAAAGAAGTGCCGAAGGAACAGTTGTAAAACTCAAACCGTGTTAGGCACGACTCTCCTTCTGTATCAGCCTATAAAACAGGAAACAGCTGTAAGTCAATTTCTGTATTAACAAACTGCCAAATAGAATGGGCTCGTTTCTGAGTTCAGTGACTTCATTTACACTGGAGTGACTCCACTGGAATGCACTGAGTTACTTGGGCTTGACGCTGGTGTGCCAGAGATCAGAATCAAATTGATCTCATTGGTAGCACAGTTGCACTTAGAGGCACCGTGGTGCCAGATGCTGCACATCCGTTCAGGAACAGGTCCCTGCTTTAAAAGGCTCACAGTCAAAACAGACAAATCTGGGAGAAAGGGAGCAATATCATCCCCATTGTGCAGATGGAGAACTTAAGTGATGTGCCCCAGTTCTCTCACACAGTCTCTGGGAAATGAACATAGACCTCCTGGAACCAGATTCGGGGCCTTCACCACAAGCCCATGCTTCCACTTACTTGAGCCAGGGCCGGGGACGGTGTTTTTGTTCGGAGTGTGTACCGCACAGTGGGGTCCTGGTCTGTGACTATCACTGTACAAATTCATAATCATTATTATGATGATATATTTTAAATACTTGTAGTGACCGGTGCAGTGTCTGACATTGAAGTACGCATTCCATCTCTTACCAAGCAGCTGTTATAAGATACCATCTCCCCAGCTCAGAGGCTGGCCGAGCGGGAAAAGAAAAGAATATAAATGCAGAGTTCCTCAGATTAGCAGCATCTTGTCCCAAATCTCGTTCCCTTCTATGCGCCTGATGATTTACCAGCAGGACTCATCTGGGAACCAGCAAAAAGCAACTGAAAAATTAACCTGAGCAAAGCTACAATCTCACACTTGACCCAAGAAGTCTACAGCGTTGGCCTTCCTAGCAGCAACGGCTCAGTGCAAAGTGGAAGAGAAATGTGCCGTTAAAAGAGAAGCCTGGAGAGCAGCTGAGCGGTGACAGCAGTGAAAAGATACAAACCAAAAGAATGGCTCTGACAGCAAATTAAATTGGGAAGATAAACAGGGAAAAAACAAAACAAATGGGAATTGTCTGAACACATGGCCGAAACGGAGTCTCAGCATAAATGCCACCAAGTGGAAATTGCAGTGCATGTGGATGGACTACCCATCAGGCAAACAATATCCTCTTGTGAAATTTGCGAGCCCAGCATTGATTGAAAGTCTCATGGCTGGGGGAAGCAAAGCGTGTATGATTGGAAGTAGCGTTCATCCGACAGTGGGCTGGCAAAAGCTGACAATTGTTGATGATAATGAACTGAAGGAAACTAAAGGAACGTGATTTAGAGGGGAAGAGCAGATTGTGATTTTTGTCTAAATGTGGATTTGGTTTCTGAGCAAATCAGATTTATGCTTCTCTGAGACAATTTTGCTAATAAGCCAATGACTCAGAAATCTTACACCAGATGGAGTTCTTTAGCTGAGGTAGAGGGTATTGTTTTCCTAAGAGGAAAGTAGCCAGTTCTTTTTAGAAAGCTGATGTCTTGAAAATGTGGTGGGCCTTTCTCCTCAGCAGACATGCAGCTTTGTCAAATAACACCAGGCCACTCTTTTGATGCTGTTTCTAAAATGGAAACATTCTAACTGGAATAAAAAAAGAGAGAATGCAAATACGAATTTTAATAATCAAATATGAAGAGTATAGTTTTTCATATTATCTTCTCTAGTGGAAAATAGCCCCTATGCCACAGTTTAGAACCACAAGGGAAAAATATCTAGTGAGGTGAACCACAAATTTTCAGAAGACCAGAGTTGTCCCATTTCTGATTTAGGGTTTGTCTACACACGGTCATTCAGGAATATTAATCTGAATTAATTACAGGTGTGAATATGAGGGGGGTTAGTTAAATCACATTAAATTGCTGTGTGAATACTGTTATTCTGAATTAAGACCACTTTAATTCTGTTTAGCTTAATTCAGTTTGGAAGCGAAGCAAACCAGATCAACATTGGCTGTTCAGGGCGCTGCTTTTAGTTGCCTCTTCCTGGTCACAGGCTTTCAGCAGCATTGCACACTGTGCAGTTTTGGCCAGCTAAGCCAGACTTATTAGACAGAAGGAGAAAGAAGAGGGGTAGGAAGGAGAAGACATAAGGTGGGGAAAGAAAAGGACACATGGGCGGGGTGGCAGGGCAGCAATGGAAAGAGAAAAGTCTCACATCCCAGGTGGTGTTTGGGATTCAGCTGGAGCCAGTAGAGGTGACAATGCCATCTGGGCCCCTCTCCCTGGCCTGGTCTGGTCAGGACCTCACAGTCCTGGGGTTCCAGGCGATGGGGGTGGGGGTAGCAGGCAGGATAATGAAGCTTACTTCAGTAGACAAGTTCCTCCCCACCCCCCAAGTCTTTCTTTAACACTCCCAAAAGGGCGTGGTGGTGGAATAGTTTATCCCCTCATTGTTTTGTTCACCGTTGGGCTTACTATCTGACATGCCAGTTTTGGTTAATTGATTTTTGGTCTCATGCCGTTTTTGTTTACCAGGCATGATCACAAGGCCTCTTTGTCTGCACTAGTCCTGTCTGTCAGTCTCCTTTTCATGCTTTCCACACCAGCACTGATTGTTATATAGGTTGTTGTGACATTACATGAGCTTTCACATACCTTTTATAGGGTAAATGTGTAGGCCACATAACCTATACTTGCAGTACACACAACGATAAAGCTTTTCCTGGAGTTGTTTTTGTTACAATCCTTAAATGCTCATTTTCTCCCCTATTGAAAAATTGTCATTCATCAATGGGCTAAGCAAAGGGGGTTCTTTAGACCTCTGTCCTGTTAGGATTTAGCACACGTTTAACTTCAGACATGGGAGCAGCTCACTGAAGTCAGTGGGACTGCTCGTATGCATCAGTGTTTGCAGGAGTGGGGCTGGGAAGCAGCAAGATGTGGACTTGAATCTCAGAGGCCAAAAGCAGTGTTAGAGTTCAAAACTCCTTCAGAGGAAAGAAACGGTGTTATTAAAACTGCACATTTTATATCAAGTGCAGAAAGGGGTCAAGCTTTGCATTGTAGAAATGCAGCCATGAGGTGTGCAGACAGGTGACTGTGTGCAATTTACTAATAATCCGGAAGAGGTGAGTAAGCAGTAAGATGGTTAAATGTGGAGATGACTGAGAAGAAATGTATTAGGATCTAAGGGCTGGTCTACACTGGGGGGGGATTGATCTAAGATACGCAACTTCAGCTACGTGAATAGGTAGCTGAAGTCGAAGTATCTAAGATCGAATTACCTGGGGTCCACACGGCGCAGGATCGACGGCCACGGCTCCCCCGTTGACTGCGCTACCACAGCTCGCTCTGGTGGAGTTCCGGAGTCGACGGTGAGCGCGTTCAGGGATCGATATATCGTGTCTTAACGAGAGGCGATATAACGATCCCGGATAAATCGATTGCTACCTGCCGATACGGCGGGTAGTGAAGACGTACCCAAACAAAGACACATTACTGGGCAACCTGATGGGAGATGAAATTCAATGTAGATAAGTGCAAGTTATTGGAAATGGGAAGGAACGACATGTCGTACCTGGGGCTGTATTCCAAAGTAATTGTAGCTCTTCTTTTTTTTTTAAAGGTCCTAGTCATCACCAAAGAGCTCATTGGAAAATATCTGCTCAGTGCATGGCAGTGCTCAGGAAAGCAGATGTGTTAATATATGGAGAGAGAATAATAGTGAAACGGTGACAGATTGGATTTAGAAATGGGGGTCGTGAGCTCCCCGTGAATGCGGTGTTCAGCTCGGGGTACCATAACTCAAAAATGATGTAGCAGAAAGAGAAGGGATTTGGAGAAGGGCAACGAATCTAATCGAAGGCATGAAAAAGATTTCAGCGGAAAGACTTGCACGTAAGGAGAGAGTGCCAAGATTAGGTCTAGTTAGCTTAGAAAGAAGAAGCGGTAGCAGTCGGCAAGAGAGAGACACTATAATGAACATCATAAAGAAGGTCAACTGGCTGTTCTTTCTTACCTATGAAAAAGGGGCACCAAGTGAAATTCAAAGGCAACCCTCAGAACACTGTTTAAAGGAAATATTTTAACCCAAGTTATAATTAGCCTATGGGACTCATTGCCACATGGTATCACACCGAGACCAAGGGCCTAATAGGATGTATATAAACAACAATATCAGCTAGCTAGAGTTTCAACCTTCTTGCTGCAGGCCTTACACTAAGCAAAACTTTCTTCTTCGGCAGATTATTGCATAATCATCCATTGTGGGATTTTCCAGCTTGCTTGGAAGCAGCTGGCACTGCTCATTCTCCAGACCACAGCTTGGCTCCAGAGGTTTGCATTCTGTGTCCCTACGTTTCTTTGTGGCAATGGGGGCTTTACAATTCATGGATAAAATACTTTTTTCCAGTTCTTGACCAGTTTCCACATGCTTGGACTGTAAGTGCATCAGTGTTAGTGATCAGGGTTGTTTAGAAGATGAGACTTTTTGGCATCCCATTTATGCGATCTCATTGGCCTTCCTTTTTATTTCTCTCATCCCTGGCTGATCTGTGTCCTTTCCTGCCTTTAATTATTGCAGATTTTGGAGCCATCATTCCAACTGGCTGCCATCAATAAACTGATTAATTTCATTATTTTGTTGGCTTCACAAAATGGTTATCCTGAAGTGACTGATACTAGGGCTGGGTGGATTGCAGAATGTCTGTTTGATTTTGGTAAAGAGCATAAAAAATTGGCACTTTGATTTAGACCTGTAGTTATAAAGCTTTTATTAGTAAGATGCTGTATGTTTAATCAACATTTGCAGTGACTTTTAAAGGGGTCATTTTCTTTACAAAACCTCTGTGATTTCCAAGTGTCACAGTGTAAGTTCTTAGCTATTGTAGGGCATATCTTGCCTTTTTTTTTTCATTTAAAAAATGGTAAAAGGGCAAAACATACATGAAAATAAAAACCCATGGCATGTGATTTGCTTTAAGATGCATGAGATCTAATCTCTGATTAAGGAGCAACCAGCCTGTTTGGAGGAAGGCTAGTGTACGGACTGGACACCATAGATAACAGCCTGAGTCAGAGGCCTTGCTCTGCATAATTCCCAGCTCACCCTCTGCCCAAACACACACACAATCTGGGACAAATTATGGCTGTCCCTCATGAGACTGGACAGCACAGGGGAGAAGATTCAGGACTTGGCACAATTATGAGCCAGATATCCCAGTATTGCCAACCCCATACATTAAAAGATATGAATCCAGCCCCCCCAGATATCATGAGGTTAGCTTAAAAAAACCTCATGATTTAAAATAAATCAAACATTGGACTTTTTTTTTTGCCTTCTTTTCTATAGCGTTGGGTTGTGTTTTCGAGCTTTTCTCTGCAACCATGAAGTTTAGAAATTTACCATTATTTTTTCATGGAAGCTGAGATTCTCACATAATCACAGGACTCCAGGAGATGGGGCTTTAAGAAAAATGCCAACTAATATGATACTCACAATAAAATCACAAGAGTAGACAGCACTGCTACTCCCTCCATACTTCCCTGGGAATACACACAATTGCACCACAGTTCTGGCCATCCTCTTCTCCAGACTGGCCTGTAGAATGGGTCTGGTGTGTGGGAGAATATGCTACGGCCCCCAGAAGGTTACAGCAGTGGCTGTTCTCCCTTGTGAGATAGGAAACTCTGGGTAGCATTCTCACTATAGTACTTGTTTGAGGTGAATTGAAAAATACTGTTTCTTTTGTTTATCTTTTTTACGGTGCAAATATTTATAATAAAAAATAATATAAAGTGAGCACTGTACAGTTTGTATTCTGTGTTGTAATTAAAATCAATATACTTGAAAATGTAGAAAAACATCCAAAATATTTAAATAAATGGTATTCTATTATTGTTTAACAGTGCGATTAAAACTGCGGTTAATCGCGATTCATTTTTTTAATTGTTTGACAGCCCTAGTAAATAGCTCCCCTGAGTCTTTATTTAAAGTGTAAGTAATTTTTAATAACACATGACACCAATTTTGTATTGTCAATTGGGGATTTGGGGACTAAAATGAGCGTCTTCCCTCACAATATGAGAAATGGGAGAGGGCTGTTCCTGGGTTCTGTCTATACATGTACACCGCTACCTCGATATAACATGACCCGATATAACACGAATTCGGATATAGCGCGGTAAAGCAGCACTCCAGGGGGGCGGGGCTGCACACTCTGGCGGATCCAAGCATGTTCAATATAACGCGGTTTCACCTAGAACGCGGTGAGATTTTTTGGCTCCCGAGGACAGCGTTATATCGAGGTAGAGATGTAGTTAGTTCTGCTTAACACTTCTGGATCCTTTAGGACAAAGAGCACCAAATTCAAAATGATTGTTATTAGCTGATTGGCCTCTCACATCTTTATTTCCAGGCAGTCAGTCAGTTGCTAGTTGTCCGGCCGGAAGGCAGCGTTTGTAGAAAACCTGCTCCAGAGAGTTTGTGGGGGAGGTTAGTTAATTGAGATTTTTATGATCATCACCAGTGTGCACCGTGTTTTGTTTCTGAATGTAAAAGACAAAGACAAACTCTTGTGCATGACTTTGGAATCTCGTCTCGATGCAGGGGGAGGGAATCATGGCTCTGTGAGTGAGGATTTACACCAATGGAATCCACATCCACAAATCCCTGAGCATCTAGGTAAGAACAGACTCAGCTGGGGGTTGATCATTCTCTCAGTCTGAAGGCTGGGGGATTTGTCTTGGTTTAGAAGCTTCTCTGTCTAGCCCTGTGTGTTAATTTTTGGCTGCGATCACTGTCTTTCCCATCCATTGGTACATCTTTGGATGGCTTTGCATTTGGATGTTCTCTGACCATGCTGTCTGCACAGCTGACGCTTTGCATACGCTTTGGCGTATACATTTTAAAAAAGCAAATGTGCTCTTAATTGTCAGGAATGATACCACCACCCTGAAGCTGTGCGAAGGTTTCTGATCCTTGACGCTCTCGCAGCGCTGGTACAAAAGAAAGCAAGAAGCGGCACAAATCACTTCGCTCTTTATTAACCCTTTGTCTCCCTCACCTCTCAGAAGGCTCCCCCTTCTTTTCTCTGACATACACATCGCCTGCTTTCTCCTCTGTCCTTTCGACCCTTTCACAGGGCTGCTGACAGAGCCCCCAGTGCCTACAGGTTCCTCTGCTGGGCCTTAGCACCTCACATGCCTTGGCCACTCCCTGCTCAGAGGTGCACAATAACTAGGGACATCCCAGCATGGACAAGGTTTAGGTTACAGTAAATATTATGGTGCCTGAAGACTCCTTCAGCGAACACATGAATAATGACTAGCTAGGTGAACAACGCAGACCGAGCGCGCTGTTGATCAGACGCCTTCTCCACAACAGGTTCAGGATGGGCAGCAGCAGGGCAAACTTCCCCTCCCCACAGTAGCAATTAGTCACAACTCTCCTCTGCAGTGAGCACCCCTCAGAACGGGAGTACAGCAGGCTCCATGTTTCACCTGCAGCTGTATCTTTGCCCTTTCAGATGAAATTGCCGAGAGAGGTGATGTCTGGGAAATGGACACCAGCCTGCCAGGAACTGCACCTGACATCCATCACATAGACCAGTGAAAAATCAGAGCCATTGACCTGCTTACGTCATGCTCCAGCAAAGGATCTCCATTTTGAACAGAAAGGCAAATTAATTTTGTTTTTTATTGCTAGCAGGAAGAGGGAAAAGCGGCGGAGGGAGCAGGGGCTGGGCAAGCTGTCTCCATCTAAAGCGAAGTGATTCGCCGTCCCTGCCTTTTCCCCTAAATCAGGCCTCCAAACTGGTATTCCAGTTCATCTTTAAACCAAGCACAGAGATGCTCAAGTCTACCTGCACCACGCCGAGGCCTTCTCTTTGTGACAAGGCCAGCAGTGGGAGATAAAGCTCTGCGTAATGCTACAGAGCCGACAGCAGCAAAGCTCTCCAGAATTATTGGCATCAGCCAGCCTCGATTCCAACAATACGAAGTCTTGCCTGACTTCGTCTTTGCATCTTTGAAACATTCTTGTACTGATGCACAGGTGTGGGTAAGTCAGGCGCTGGCCCACGGCCTGGCTGAGTGTTCGGTTTCGCTTCGGTTGTTCGGCTGACGAGAACAGCCTTCATTTCCTCTGGTGCCTCCTGCACTGGCTAAGTCATTCAGCGTCCCCAAGCAGCAGCCCCCAAACTCCCAGCTTTCCACAGCCAATGCCAAGCTTCTCTTTTGTGAGGCAGGGATGTGTGTGTGCTGGCCTCTATTTACCACCTCACTCATCGCGTGTGGGGCACCTTGATGTGGGAGTCACCCCGTTGAAAGCACGGGGCAGCTTGTGGAGATGGTACTACATGAGTAAGGCTGACAGGATCTGGCCAAAGAAAAGGTTGATTGCTCAATTGGCAACACACTCACCCTACCAATGCAGGTAGTTGTGTCTTGCTGTAGATAGAGACAACCAAGCCCACTAGACCCATTCAGCTTCCCTTCTCTCTTCTTTTGGTCCCTGGACCTTGAAAATCGGTACCATTTTCCATCACGTCCTCCGGGCTGTTACACACCAGCACTTTACAATATTGCACAATAGCTCAATACTCTGTCAGAGGCAGGATTCGTTCTCGTGTGCTTTCACAAGAAGTATGGTAATAAGGGCATTGCCGTCTACAGATCTCCTACCAAGAGGTAATGAGCAGTGTTCCCAGAGCGGTTTTGCTAATAACCTCAACTAGAGTGAAGAGTTCAGCTGGGAAGGGAGTTTGTTTGTTTGTAAAAGTTTGCTGAGCTTTCAGAATCCGGTGTTTCAAAGCTGGCTCATTGCTAATTAAGGGTTAGTGTACTAAATTAACAGTAAATTAACATTCATTTCTCTGCTAGTACACTAGAGCTGTAGGAAATTACCCAAATTATTCAGGTAGTGACATTCATCACTGGATGGAATGAGTGTAGCTTAAACAAGATTTAGTGCTTCTTGGTAGCTAATATTCACAGCTGTGATAACAAAAAGGCGAACTTCCTCATTCACCGTCATTTTAACAGTGTAGGCGCCAAGTTAGGGTAAAATGTTCGTCTAAACCGTAGATTATTTAAGCAATAGGACATGACAGGCAGAGTGCATTTCTGAGAGATCGCTGCATGCCTTAGGTGCAAATTGGGAGGCCCGGCTCGCAGATTAGTGACTTATTGTTATTGTAAAATGAAAATGCCACCCCCAAGAATATCCTCCTGCATTAGCTGGGGATAATTGACATTGGTGTGCCAGGGTTTCAAACCAATCATAAAAAGCCAGCTGAATTCATAGCTCTAAAGTCATTTCATAATTATGTTTAATATCATAATCCCCTATTTCAGGGAGAGGCTATACGGATTTCTGTGCATTTGTCTAAGTGCTCACCATTTGATCTAGGGCTTAGAATCTTACCTTACCTGCTCAGAGGAAGGGGCGGCTTGGGGAATTGGTAATTAGCTACAGAGCCTATCCCAGCAGGTCAGTAGCTCAAACCCAACATGGCTCCGCAATGGCTCAAATACCTTACCATGAAGTGGTGATTTTGTTCAACATTTTATGACGGCAAAGTTATACTAACGCGTTAACACACTACATCGGACGTTACTTAGTCATGATCCGGTTAACATTCAAAGAGCCTGGCTAAAGATTCTGGCTTGCTGCCTGGGGAACCCTCCTCTTCTGAGCATGCTAAAAATGGTGACCACCCTTCTAAATACCTATATTCTTTTTGGTGCGTTCCTTGTGGACGTGCTTGGTTGAATGCTCTTCCATTACGAGGACTGTCCATATTTTATAATACTGCAGTTCCATAGGAGGAGAACTCACATTTTTTCCTTTCCTTTTTCCTACCTTGTACCAGCTGCAGCATCTGTCCCATCTCCAAAAGTTCCCTGCTCCTCTCCAGTACATCTGTCTCTGACATGCCGTCCCCTCAGAGAAACTTGTCCTGCACAAACACCGAGTCTGACCGTTGGGTTAAGGTATTAGTTTCCATTCTGCTGGTTTCTCTGGCAGAGCGTCTGTCTCTGGGAGGAGAACAGCATTGCTTCGTTACCAACTGCGTTCTGCTACGTACTGTCTAGAGCTGGTCAGGAAAGGATTTTTATTTTCACATGGAAAACATTGATGAATATGGATTATTTTTGGTAGCCATTGAAATCGTACTTGGAAAGATTTTCCTGGATTTTGTCGACCCCTGAATGTTTTCTGCAAAAGCAGACGCTTGTCATGAAAATTTCACTTCTGTCAACATAGCCTGTCACAGGCTGAGACTGGCCCTTCAAGAGGGAAGAGGCCAACGCACCTGTGACTCAACTCACTGCAGGTGCCTGTCAAAGAGGGCACTGAGCCTTAGAGGCGGGGTGCCCCAGCAGGGAGCTGCCTCGTGGCTCAACCATTTTCTGTTTTTTTAATTATACCCTGTGTTTTGAGCAAAATATTCTGACAAGCTCTAACCCTGTCACAGCAGGTTGGGGAATGAGGGGTGGGCATCTTGGTTGGCAGGTAGTTGGGACAGAGCCATAGCACCACTTCCCCCAAGCTCCATTAGGGGCACTCTGTGCTCCCAGGAGAGAAGGAGGGTGGGTACAGGCCCTGTGCCCCCTTCTCTGAAGGGACTGGAATTCTATCCAGCTATTACACAGGCTGTGTAAGGGGAGAGCACCTGTGTTAAGGCAGAGTCTGAGATGCAGAAATTAGTGCAGAAAATGCATTTAAAAAAATCTGTATTTCACATGTTAAAATTCTCAACAGGAAAACAATATAAACAAGGTCATAGCT